CTCAGTCCTCTGCCCTACTAACCAAACAGCATGTCAGCGCCATGTTGTAGCTTCACTGCGGCAGCTGAACAAGCAGCACCCCTCAACAAGCGTCCAGTCAACCATTCCTGTAGAAATAGCGCAAAGACCATGTAACTTCCACTTCTAGAGAAACATTTCATATATACACATTCTATATATATATAAATTATTTAACAAACTTCATATACTGTGATGACAAAGCAAAGCAGGACCCTGTGGATTCCTCACACTTCACATTCAAGACAGACTTGTCAGACCTAGGTTATTAAAACTATATTACATGAAATTAATTTTTTATTGCAAGTGACTGAGATTAATACATTTTTAATGCGGGATTTCAAAATCTATATCTTTAGAGTGGAATTGAAAAACACCCTCTAGCAGGATTTACAAACAGGTGGTGGTGCTGCAAAAAAATAAATAACTGACCTCAACCTTTTTTTTTTCTAGAGAAGGAATGGAAACAAGTCGACGAACATTACAGAATTTCACCTAAAAATGACATAAGATTAATTTGTGATATTTACATAAGCCCCCTTTTATAAAGGATACTGCATGTACAAATAAACAAGCAAGATAAAACAGAGCCTTATTATTCACGACTGAAAGGAATAGGTTTTTTTTTGCCAGTCCAGTTATGCTTTATATTTCACCTCTGGCAAGGAAAGTTACTGAATTCTGTTGCTTTGGGCAGCATATCCTGATGTAGATGGATGAAAGGTGCGCCTTCTTTTAGTATGACAGCCTGTTCTTACACTATCTACACCTCCACATACACCAATCTGTCATAACTTTATGACAACCCACCTAATATTGAGTAGGTTCCCCTTTTGTCTCCAAAAGAGTCCTGACCCATTGAGGCATGGACTCCACTAGAGCTCTGAAGGCATGCTGTAGTATCTGGCACCAAGCCATGAGATCTTTTAAATCCTGGATGTTGTGAGGTGGGGCTTCCATGGATTCCATTCATTTTTTTCCAGCACATCCCACAGATGCTCAATTGGATTTAGATCTGGAGAACATGGAAGCCGAGTCAACACCTCAGATCTGTTGTGTTCCTCAAACCCTTCTTGAACCATTTTTGTAGTGTGGCAGGGAACATTATCCTGCTGAAAGAGGCCACTACCATCAGGAAATACAGTTTCCAGGAAGGGCTGTACTTGGTCAGCAACAATGTTTAGGTAGGTGATATGTGTCAAAGTAACATCCACATGAATATGAGGATCCAAGGTTTCCCAGCAGGACACTGCCTCTACCTGCTTGCCTTCTTCCCACAGTGCATCCTGGTGCCATCTCTTCCCGAAGTAAGCAAGGCACAATCACCCAGCAATCCACATAATGTAAAAAAAAAAAAACGAGATTCATCAGACCAGGTCACCTTTTTCCATTGTTTTGTGGTCCAATTTTGATTCCTACTGTAGATACTTTTGGCTATGGACTCAAGTCAGCATAGACATCCTGACCAGTCTGCAGCTACACAGCCCCATACATAACCTGCAATGCAATGTGTGTTCTGACACCTATCAGAACCAGCATGAACTTTTCCAGCAATTTGAGCTACAGTAGCTCTTCTATTGGGATCGGACTACACTGGCCAGCCTCATATGCATCAATGAGCTTTGGCCACCCATGACCCTGTCACCAGTATTTTTTCATTGGGTAGGTCCTGACCAAGGCAGATCGAGAACATCCCACAAGAACTGCAGTTTTGAAGTTGCTCTGACCTGGCTGTCTAGCCATTACAATTTTGCTCTTGTCAAAATCACTCAAATCCTTAGGCTTGCCCTTTCATTTTTTATACTTTCAACATATCAACTTAAGGGAAACATGTCTAAAATATCCCACCCACTTTCAGATGACAGAGTAACAACACGGTCAATGTTATTCCCTTTACCTGTAAGCAGGGCCAGTGCTAGACTATTTTACACCCTAGGCAAGACCAGCTACTTGCGCCCCCCTCCCAAAAAAAACAATTAAATAAATACAAAATTTATAAGAAACTGTGGAAAATATTAAATCAACAAAATATGAAACTGCTAAATTTACTAAATTTCATCTGAAAAAATAAGTGTCATAAGATGTGACCAAAACTAATATTAACAACAAAATATATATTAACTAAATATAAATTAACTATATTAACTAATCAGACAGAGAAACAAAAACAGAGTTAAACTCCAGTGATCAGTAGCTGGTATCCAGAAACACTGGAATAAGTGGTAGTGCAGCTGCTACACTGGCCCCAGACACCTGGCATCTTCCTCTGTCCTTTCTTCCTCCCCTCAGCTGAAGGATCATTGATGACATGGCGGCGTCCCACATGCTCAATCAGCATCAGCTCCCCTTACCCTGACCACTGTCCGCCCCTCCTCTTCCTGTCACCTCCATGAGCCGCCTTCCTTCTAGGCTTGGCTCACCTCTGACGGCTCCTGCTGGGTTGCAGAGTCCAGGCTGTGGCTCTCAGTGAGGACAGGCACCCTCCCAGCACCACACCGCTTCCCTCTCACGCACATCAGGCCTTGATCATCCTATTCACATAGGGTTAACCCTGCAAATAGCGAACACCCCCTATTGATTGGCTCCAGCTGTGTAGAAGAAGGTGAAGCCAGCACTGGACATGCCCCATTCAGTCACTAGCCGCCTCCCTGTTACAGCTGGAGGATTGTGTGTGCCAATGTGTGTATTGGAGATGTACAGACCGATTCTCCAGGTCCTTGGCTAATGCCATCACTTCCCATCCGAGGGGGAGCTGACACTTCACAGCTACGTGGAATACTGTCATATATACACACACACACACACAGTGCTCAGCATAAATGAGTATACCCCTTTTTGAAAAGATTTTATTCAATATCTCAATGAACACAAGAACAATTTTCAGAATTTTGCCAAAACCGAGATTTATAGAACATTTGTTCAGCTCATCACATGAAAGTAAGGTTAATAATATAACTTAGATTACAAAATATTCAGTTTTACTAAAATTAGTTGATGCAAAAATGAATACACCCCACAACAAAAATTACTACATCTAGTATTTTGTATGATCTCCATAATTTGTAAGGACAGCACCAACTCTTCTAAGCATGGAATGAACAAGTTGGCAAAATATTTCAACATCTATCTTTTTTCATTCTTCAAGAACGACCTCTTTCAGAGCCCAGATGCTGGATGGAGAGTGATGCTCAACTTGTCTCTTCAGAATTCCCCATAGGTGTTTGATTGGGTTCAGATCAGGAGACATACTTGACCACTGGATCACTTTCACCCTGTTCTTCAGATATGCGGCAGTGGCCTTAGATGTGTGTTTTGGATCATTATCATGTTGGAAAAGTGCACAACAACCAAGAGCATGAAGTGATGATAGCATCTTATCTTTCAAATAGAGCAGTACATCTGTGAATTCATGATACCATCAATGAAATGCAGCAATTCATATAAAAGGTCCATAGGTCACACAGAGAGAGTGCCAGCCTGTGCAGCTGCCTAGTTTGCCTAGTGGAAGCACTGGCCCTGCCTGTCAGTGATCAAGAAGTTATGGCTGATGGGAGTATGTGTGTATGCAACCTTTTGAGGTACCAGCAAGTAATGTATTTAATGACACCTTTTTTATAAGAGTATTTGGCAGATACACAGCTCCAGCATTATAAAAGAAATGTCAGATGACACATCATTCCTGTGAGGTTGTCATATTCAGCTCCACCCAGAGTCCCAGAGTCTTCTTTTTAAAACACCAAGATGGCCATAGTTTACAAGGCACTCTGTGAAATGATAAAGTATTGTTACTGGCTCTACTTATGTATGGAACTAGAAAATAAAAACCAGATATCCGAGCTGACTGCCAAAATGAACCAGCTAGAACAATAGGTAGTATATCGACCCAATATAACTAAATAAATAATAAGTGCAGCGCTTTATAATCAATTAAAGTGAAAAAACAATGATCATGTGAATATTATCAGTGTCCATGTACACAATTCAGTGTTCAGTATTTGTTGATCCACCACCCTCAAAGAGTGTTCTTGATAGCAGACAGCCAAATAAGTAACAAGAATACCACCACCGTCTCCCAGTGAATTGCAAACTCACCAGAACTATTGGCTGCCACTACAGCAGCACAAATGCCTGTAAACCTCAGCCAGTCTCAGATGCAGCTTGTCACGGCAATTGGTAGTTCCGGAGAGTTTGCAATTCACTGGGAGACGGTGGTGGTATTCTTGTTACTTATTTGGCTGTCTGCTATCAAGAACACTCTTTGAGGGTGGTGGATCAACAAATACTGAACACTGAATTGTGTACATGGACACTGATAATATTCACATGATCAATGTTTTTGTTCACTTTCATTGATTATTAAGCGCTGCACTTATTTATTATACATGGAACTGCTTTCTAGCTCAAAACTCAAAAAGACAGCACAATGTACTGTTAAAAATGTTTGCAGATTCTCAGGGTTCATTTCTACCTACCATTTTATTTCTAATTAACACGTGTACACAGGGTAGCCATTTGTTTTAACCACTTCTAAACCAGGCCAATTCTAACATTCCTCTCATAGATGTAAAAATCTGCACTTTTGTTCTAGAAAATTATATAGAACCTCCAAACACACACACACACACATAATATATATATATATATATATATATATATATATATATATATATACACACACACATATACATACACACACACTATATATTATATATAAAAACAACATTTTCACAGCGGTTTATCAACAATTTTCAACAAATAATACACTTTAATTTTAGTGCACAGAAATGCATTATACTGTAATACTCAATATTTTGTAAAATAAAGATGTTGCACCAAGTAAATACATACCTAATATGTCACACTTTAACCATCTCCCGCCCGCCATATAGTACAATGAGGGGCGCAAGGCGGTTCTCTCGTTCTAGGAGGACGTCATATGACGTTGTCCCATTCTAACCGCGCGCAGGACAGACAGCGATTGGTGGTGCGCTGTGTCCCTCGGACACAGCAGATCACCGAACAACGCAAAGAGCCGAAGATGTTGGCTAGGTCATGTGATCAGCTGTGTCCAATCACAGCTGATCACATGTAAATAGGGAAATGCCGGTTATCGGCATTTCTCTCCTCACGAGCGGTCACGCTGACAGCTTGAGAGTAGAGGAGAGCCGGTAATCGGCATCCCTCAGAGGGGACATGTGCACTGATCTTCAGGTCACTGATGATCAGTGTACCCTGATGATCTGTGTAGCCCCAGAAGTGCTACCTGTCAGTGCTCATCCATGCCACCTGCCAGTGCCCATCAGTGCCACATCAAAGCCACATATCAGTGCCTACCAGTGCACATCAATGCCACATATCAGTGCCCATCTGAGCTGCCTTTCAGTGTCACCCATCAGTGCCACCTATCAATGCTGCCAGTCAGTGCCGCCTATCAGTGCCAGTCAGTGCTTCTTATCAGTGCCGCCTATCAGTGCCCGTCAGTGCTGCCTAACAGTGCCAGTCAGTGACGCCTAACAGTGCCAATCAGTGCCTCCTATCAATGCTGCCTATTCGTGCCATATATGAGTGCTGCCTTTCAGTGCCCATCAGAGATGCCTGTCAATGCCCATCAGTGCCCCCTACCAGTGCCTCCTCATTAGTGCCCATCAGTGCCACCTATCAGTGTCCATCAGTGCAGCCTATCAGTGCCCATCACTGCAGCCTCATTAGCGCACATCAGTGAAGGAGAAAAATCACTTATTTACAAAATTTGGGGAGATTGCTGTACTAATATCAGATAGGCAGTAGAGGGCAGGGGTGGACTGACCATTTGAGCACTCGGGCACTGCCCGAAGGCCCAGGGTCAGTAGGGAGCCCCATGAAATGCCCCTGGTACCTTTTTATTGGCTTTTATGGGTGTGCTTTGAGTGTGGGCAAGGATACAGGGGCCCCATGATCCCCTATTGCTCGTGGGGCCCCATGAGTTGTCAGTCCACCCCTGGTAGAGGGAGCTCCTCCTGAAAGCTTCAGATTTTTTTTCTATTTGTTCAGCCACTATGACCCAAGTCACCTTAGCTAACCTGTAGCTGGTGACAACTCAACATCAACAGGATTGTTGGGGGGGGGGGAAGCACTAAAAAGCACTAAACACAACTCCCAGATTTCTACAGCATTGTCCCCATGATAGCTTTTGGCAAGGCATCCTTTTTTAGTTTGAGTAGAAGTTATTTATTTTAATGAGGAAATACAAATTTTACTTGGAGTGGAGTTTGAACTTTCCTGCATTTCTTGTCAGCCTGAAAAGGCTAAACTGAAAGAAAAGTGGCTCAGAACTTGCAGAGCAAAAAAAAAAAAAAAAAAATTGAGATGGTTGTGTAGAAGATGTCATTACTAGCAGAACAAAAGGTAATGATGTACTTTACATAATTCACATTGACATGACTGTGTATCCTATTGAAATAATACATTGCTTGTTTCCATCCCATACAGACCCTGCTACTGCTCAAACAGGTTGAATTCTGTCATCGCAGATGTATTTCTCTTATCAACACATGCGGCTTTGCAAGATGAGAAGTCGGAAAGGGATTATAATATAATTAGCATTTAAAACGTGGGCAGCAAAGGAATATATTATGAGATAAAGGGATTTTCCCAAGATCATACACTGGGCATAATAAAGGAGGTGTGTTTGTTTATACTATCAACTGTTTCCTATTACACAATGCCTATAATAGGAAGGGGAGTATTACAAGGATACTTCTTTTGTATGTATTTCCCCACTAACACCAACTGCAGGAAGAGCGTGTTCATCGTTCGGGCCATGTGTGACATTTGTGTGTCCCTAAAGTGACTAACATGTCCGAAGATGAGCCGACCATATTGTAGTTACTTTCCAGTACATATAATGTGAACCTGGTCTCCATTGTTTACTTAAAGTGATTCTAAACCTAAAGCCAAAAATGTAATCTATTGCAGCTTACCCGTCATTAAATGTGGTGTCTGCAATAATATATTTTCAGGCTTTTTTCCCGTTTTCACCTGGTGATCTGGCCAGTAACACACCTCCGGCATTGGTGTGCCTCCACTCTGGATGAAGGAGCACAGGGGGTATCTTGTGATAGCAGCATTGTCAGTCTGGGGGGAGGGGAATGATAGATGGACAAACAGATTCAGATACACTGACAAATTAAAGCCAACTTCCAGCTTACACTGCAGTTACAGTAACAGCTTTTTTGGAGATGGAGGTTTTACATGAAGAAATCCAAAATGATCATTGTAGGCACTCCTGTCAGTGGTAATTGGTTTGTCCCAACACTCTAACCGCTATGTTTTTAGGGAAGCTTCTTCTGTTGAAAAACAGACTTACTGGCTGGATCCCCCTAAAGGAAAGAAATCCCTAAAAAAAAAAAAAAAAAAAAACAAATATAGACATCACATCTAAGAATTGGTAAGCTGCAATATAATAAATGTTTGATTTTGGGTTTAACACCCTGGTCACACTGGGTGTGACTTACCATGCAATTTGCCTTGCCATTCGAGTTGCAAATCACATGGCAAGTCGCACCCTATTGTTCATAATTAAAACGGTCATACGGGTGCGATCCCGACTTGGTCGGAGCTGCACCAGTTGTTGCATGCACTAGTTCAGGTGCAACTTGCAAAGACATCTGTGTCTTACAAGCCGCAGATGTCTTGCAAGTTGCACCTCAAGTTAGAATGACATCCGACTTTGAAATCTTGCGACTTCACTGGAAGTCACGCGATTTCAAAGTTGGATCGGTGTGACTGGGGAGTAATACCACTTTAAAGCTATGTTAACAGTCTTGCAGGGAAGGATAAATAAGAGAAACAGAATCCCAACAAGAAAAAAAAAAAAAAGAAGCTGCTCTCCTAAAAGCCAAGAGTAACCTTTAATGGATATGGTTGGGTACAAGGCTAGTCCACCTACTCTTCTAATGATTTTAATTATAATTAGGAGCTTAAAAGTGGTTTTAAAAGAAAAGTAAAAAAAAAAAAAAAAAAAAACACGTCTATACTAATCTGCTCTGTGCAATAGAATTGCACAGAGCGGCCCCGATACACCTCTTATTGGGTCCCCCCACCCCTACTCCTGGCTCCTCCTCTGTTTCTGGTGCCCCCAATAGGAAGCAGGTTCTCATGGGTGGCACTCGTGCTAGCATGCTCCTGACTACTGCTGCTGCATCCATTGACACAGACAAAGACACGCCCCCCACTCTCTCATCACTGGAGTTGATTGACAGGACTGAGGAGGCCCTGAGAGGGTGCACAACGCATCTAGGAAGGAGGAGCCAGTAATATGTTATTGTCTGCATGCGGAGCAGTGAGCTTCATGTGGATACACATTTTATGCTTTTATAACTGTGTTACTTTAGTGGGGGATACAATAAAGATATGTCACTGCGTCTGAGGAGTTGAGTGTACCCAGATGAGTGCATATTTTCTTTTCTTGATGTGAGCAGGTTTTTCACCTGGTGTGGTGGAGGATCACTGAATATTACTAAAGAAAAAGATATTCATGGAAGTGCTACATATCACTGAAGGGATTGTTTATGGACGCTTTAGTTTATCACTTGTTTATGTTTTTCAAAGAAGTATTTACGTTTTCTAACAATTATTAATTTAGAAAGCTGCGTTGCACTAGTAATTTGTGAATATATTTAGATAGTGAGGTGGATTCCACTGTTTTTTGTGTTCAGCAAGCAACAAAGGGGTATTTAATAGCATTTTGGATTTAGGTGGGGAGAGTGATTGTGTTGATTTATCACAGTTGGTTATATAAGATTTGTTAATTTGCACATGCAAAAGAGTATTTTTCCTAACAGATCCATTCAAGACCATGTTGCAAAAATGAATACACCCCGATGAATGTCTTAGGAGCAAAGCTAAATTTTAGACAAAATCTTAATTAACAATAATTCAACTACAGGTGAGTCTAATTATTCATTAAACAGGTGTATAGCAGAGAGGTGATTATAAAAGGGAGTTACTTAACCCCTTCACGCCTAAGGTTAAAACAAATCTAAATGCCTAAGCACAATTTTGCAACATTGACATGTGTTAGTAAAAGCGTACATATGTAAAATTACTTTTTACATCCAGGTGAATTATATCCAGAGGCGGACTGACAACTCATGGGGCCCCTATGTCCTTGCCCAAACTCAAAAAAGCCTATGAAAAAGGTACCAGGGGCATCTCATGGGGCCCCCTACTGACCCCGGACCCTCGGGCAGTGCCCGAGTTTCCAAATGGTCAGTCCGCCCCCTGATTATACCGCGTTTTTTTAATGACAAATTGGGCTTTCATTTAGTGGTACATGGTAATGGATATATCCTGATTTTTTTTTATTATCAAAAGGAAAACTGGCCCAAAATAGTAAAAAAAATATATTCCCCCTTCTTTTATTTTTTATTTAGCTGTGTGTTTCTTGTTACTACTATAACCTACCACCAAAGAACCCAAAATAAATTCTCCAGCTCTTGGCAATCGCAGCGATACCATATATGTGTATGTTATTTGTTGTTCGTACCCATAGTACAGCCCAGAAACAATAGTGCACATTTTGTTTTTGTCTTTTTTTACCTAAAACACACTAACACTGACACTAACTGACATTGATACCACAAGTTTTTTTTTTGAATCCGACCTTTGACCCTGACCTTTTGACCCTAACCTTGACCCAAACACTAACCCTGGCACTGAACTAGATCACACCTTGATCTAGGTATTTTTTATTTGTTTTTTAATATTTATTTTTTAGCAACATTTTTTGCCCCTCTATGCCAGGCGTTAGAGAGATACAATGTATCTCTCTCCTCCATTCATACAGAAAAAAAAAAAAAAAAGGGGTCGGGCTGTACAGTGACTGATCACTGTGATAGCCAATCAGAGGCTATAACAGCGATCATGTGACCCGGAATCGGGAGTCCCGGGTCCCGATCATTAGAACAGGACCTGGTGCTCTCAGTGACACCACAGTCTTTGTGTTGGGAGTGCACCATGTGGCGCGCTCCCAGCACAAAGACAATTACATGAATATACGGCCCCAAGGAAAAAAGCCCAGTTCTGTGAGGCCACATATTTTTGTTAAGTCGGCGTCAAGGGGTTAAAGAAACCCCCCAATTTCATGCTGTCGGCAATGGCACCACATGGAAGAGAAATGTCACAAAGCCTGAGAAATAAAATTTCTTTACACAAGAAAGGTGAAGGCTACAAGATCAGCAAAGCTTTACTTATCAAGTCAGAATACTGTAGCAAAATTGATACAAAAATGTAACAAAGATGGAACTGTAACCATCTCACAGACATGTCCAGGCCATCCACGGAAGTTAACCCCTCGACAGGAGCATCTTCTGATGAGAAAGGTTGAAGAAAATCACAATGCAAGTTCACTACAGCTAGCTAAAGAAGTAGAAAGCCAAATTGGGGGAGCACAATACAGCTTACACTACAAGAATGGCATACATGGGTGTCATCCATGAAGGAAGCCTTTCCTAAAGCCAATGCATGAAAGCCCACCTAGAATTTGCCAGGACCCGTGCTGAAAAAGAATAAGACT